GTGGAATAATACAGCACTAAAAAATGCTGCCCTATTTGGGGTCTATCACACACAGATGGAACTCTACTTTCTGGGCACAACAGGCCATTGTAAAATACAGACAAATAAAACAAAATACAGGACATGTAAAATATTAATGATGCTCAATATAACAGCTGTGAATGAAGGGCAAACAATGCAGTGCTGAGTAGCAGATGACATCACATCTGTTGCAAAAGAAAACCAGATTTTAGGTGCCCGTGCAAATGTCATCTCCACCTTAGGGTCGTTCATAAACGGTTCTGAAGATGTCCTGAGCATTTGCATTTCTTTATGTGTTATAAGAGCCCAGACTCAATTCTCTGGTTTCAACATTGCACAAGTCCCTTCTTCAGTAATAATAAAGCGCCACATATATGGACTCTTAATTTGATAATCTTTTTTCTTTAGTTCATGTTTTCCTGTTTAGTTCCGGTTCTGATTCATTTTTATCAGCTGTTTAATCGTAGTTCCTGATTATCCCCTGCATATATTCCCTGTACAGTTTTGTCCTTTGTCGATCCTTCGTCAAGCACAGTATACCAGCCACCGCGTTACATAAAGATAATAACGATTTCATTATTATACAGCACCCATAGAATCCCTAATGCTTAACCTAAAAGGGTTAGTTCACCTCAAAATGAAAATTCTGTCAGTAATTACTGTACTCACCCTCATGTTGTTCCAAGACTTTCGTTCATCTTCGGGAACACAAATTAAGATATTTTTGATTAAATCTGAGAGCTGGATCACTCCTCCATTGGCTTCTTAAGGGATCGAAACTTGCCGGCCCAGAAAAGTTATTAAAGACATCGTTAAAATAGTCCAAGTGACTACAAGCATGAGCATACACCTAATTAAGACAACAAAATCTCATATTATAACAGATTGCTGTGAGAGGACCCATCGAGAGGAAACTTTTGTAGAACACACGTTCTTAAAGAATATTTAAAACCCATGAGACAGTAAATCAGAACTGTTCAGTTTGACTACAAAGGACTTGTTTTACCAACAACAACAAAAAAGACACCAGTTCCCTTTTGAGTTCCTAGCACACATGCACAAAAATTAGAAGAGTATACTGTATCCACCAAAGCCCTGGACAATAACACTAGCATTCTCTGCATTTTTAATTAAAGCGGTGAATTCACGATCACTTCAGTTCTGGAATGTGAATGACAGCCCCTCTGGATCTAGATTTTAATCTAAATCCACATGTTCCGACACGTCCCTCACTCACTTTTATTATTGTAATTGGAGATTTTTGACTCCTACCTACTCTAGTTCTCTGGTAATTCCTACTTAATATGAATAAATAAATAAATTACACTGCAAACAAACCTCCCAAATTCCCCTGAGGAACTTCCACTGCATGCAAGGGATAAATTTGGAATATTATAAGAGAATTAGTTTCAGCAATTAGTTTCAGCAAATGCCACAGAATCTCAGTCTGATTTGAAATGGAAATCATTTGTGGACCACGGACGCTTGTTTTCACGCTGGTTAATTGATTAGGCGATGGGCAGGGTGTTGGTTTAACGTGGCTGAACATGTTTGTAATGCTAAAGACGAGACGCTGGGCCAAGAGCCGGCTCTCATGAGCAGAGTTAATGCAGAACAGGGAGATTTATCAGCACTCAGGGTCAAGACGAGCACACTTCTTCCACTGTATACTCATTTGTTTTCCCACCCACACCTAAGTTGGAATATTCATCCAGGATTTACAAGCATCTCATTAAATGAAGAGTGAAAGAAGGAGATAATGTGTGTGAGAGAAATAACAGTCAAGACAAAAGCCCACCTTCCTTTCTTCCTTACAGATCTCCAAATATGGCTTTTGTTCAACTATTAATTTAAGCTATTGACTGTTCCCAATTCCAATCTTCAATCGTATACTCTTTATATCTCCCCCTTATACCGAAAAGATTCCAAAAAGCACTCAAACCGAAACCATCAAGTAGCTAAAATTCCCTTTTTATGTTATATAAAGATGATACTGTATTTCTCTCTCACTTGTACTTATCTATAAGCAAAAAAGGTAGAAAACGCACACACATCATCATTCTACAAACACCTTTGGCTATAGAATTACACAAATACATACCAACATTTTTACTGATGCATTTACGTTCAACTTTCCGGTCATTTTTCTGAATACTAGATATGATTTTTTTTTAAATCATTTTGATTCAGAACGATTAGCTAATAAATAATTCACACTGATTTGAGAAGCAGTTATTCAACTCAACAGAATGACTCACAAATCAACATCATAATAGCTTGCATCCAGGCCAAGAAAATGTAAAACTTGTAAATCAAGGTCAACCAACACAAAATTGAATTGCATCTGTGCATGTTTTGCATAACTCGAGTTTTGCCCTGCTGCGGTGTTTAGTGTTTTCGGATTAGAAATGCTTACAGGATCCACATTTGGGTCTTTGATGCTTTATAAGCGAGATGTGGCTGCTGGCTGTCTCTCATATAAAACAGGTGTTTGTGTTCACATGCAACATTTGTTTGTCCCGGGCCAGATGTGCAATCCCTTCTCTGTTTACATGTGATCCTGAAGAGAAGATCACCATTTTCACCCTGAAACGCATCTTTCACTCAATGTGTTCACAATTACAACACCGAGTGACGGTTGGTAAACAAGCAAATAAAATCTACTCGCACAGGAATCCAAACAAGCGATCTCACTGACACATCGGTAAATAAACTAGTACATTAGCATGCACCTCAGGCGTCCACAAAGGAAATGGCAGAAAATTATGGGATAGGCATCTTGGGATGAAATGAAATGATTCTGGATGTGATTCTACTTAAAGTCACCAATCAAAATCGACAATTCTTGTTGTTAGTGGAACATTGCAGTGTTTATTATAAACGATTTATCTGTGCACATCATTATTTTAAATCCATGTGCTCTCGTAATCTTTAATCAAAATAAGCCACTCTGCATTTTCACTGGCCACAATTTTGGCATCAACACCATGGGGAAAAACTGTCATATAGATATTTTTAATATTATCTCATAATTTAACAGCAGATATAGTATGCTGCTGTCACTTTAAGAACATGCACGGATCCATTATACTGTTACACATGAGTTTCTTTCTCAACTGTTTATGTTCACTTTAAACGTAACTGAATGTTTACATGAACACTCATCAAAAGAATGGCATTTTGACATTATCTGTGTGTGTTTGACTGTTTAAGTCTAATAAGTAGTGGAGAAAGTACTCAATTTTTACGTAGTAATGTGAGGTGGCTTTATGTGCGGGCACTTTAGGTTTGAGCACAAAATCTACAGGAATAAGTCAAATTATGCACAATCCCATGCTAAAATTCAAGCCCTGTAATGGTGCGTTCACACCGGACGCGAATAGCCCGTAAGGCACGAGCGATTTCAATGTTAAGTCAATGCAAAGACGCGTTACGCACGTAAAAAAATCCTGCAGTGCGAATGAGGCGTAGAGCGCAGCGCGGTAGATGCGAATACACCTCGTTCGCGTGAATGGCGCGAATTGAGCGTATAGCGCGTTAGGTGCGAATGAATTAGTTAGTGCTATTTGTGCATTCACGCGTTTGACGCAAATTTGAAAAAGTTGAAAAATTTGAACTTTGGCGTCAATTCGCGCCACTTTAACCAATCAGGAGCCTAGCTGCTTGCTCACGTGCTGAAGTATCTCGATGCTTCAAAAAATTATTTTGTTATATGACTAAATGCCTGGTGTGATTCTAATGCACAACAAAGCAAATATTTTATTTCAATATACGAGACATGTTCATTTTCTATTGAATGTTATTTATTCCATATCTAGATTACCGTATATGAAATATTATTATAAATGTAAAGACAACCAACATACATGTGCATAAGTTCGTGTCTGGACGTGAGAGAGAAAAAAAATAAATAAATCAAACGACAGGTTATAACTTTTGGAGGTGGGTGAGGGCGGCGGTGATGCGGGACAACAGGTCATCAAACTGGGCACAGGACAGGCGGAAGTACCGCTGACAGCGGCCGACATCCAGCGCAGCTCATGGAGCGAGCAAATGGTGAAACCAGCCAAACGGTTCGCCTCTGAAGGGTCCGGTGGACATAAATACGGCGACGATGATCCCCAAGCCGCTACTCTTCAGAGCAAATACAGAGCGGTGACTCTCTCGATGAATGCTCGGTCGACATAAAAAAGATGGCCACCAACGAGTTTCGATTCTGACGCGCGTAAATTTCGGTTCTAACTTTTGTTTTTACAAGCGTCAATTTCGCTCTTGACGCACAAATGGATTCAAAGTGTTCAAGCATATAACTAGACGCGGTAGGCACGAATTTTACGTGCTATTCGCGTCCGGTGTAACACCAACAATATTCATCTGGATCAAATGAAACGAGTGAGTGAGGGTAGGCGGACTTGCGTGTCAATTCGCTGTCAGAGACATGAAATAGCGAGAAAGCGCAATGCGTCTATCCTGTGGAAAATTTGTATTGGATGAGCTTCAGCTATTTCAGTGTCAATATGTATTGAAAATCGATACAGAGATGCCTTTTTAAAAGACTATAATTGAAAATTGTATATATTGTACATAAAATTCAACCCGCTAAAGTAACTTGTAGCACTGCCACTGATGACGTTTACTGGCGTGGGGACGGGGCAACCTGTCACTCACATGAACATTAACCAATAGCAAACCACAACCAACCAAAAATCCAATCAATTCCTGATGGACAAATTCAAATCCTGCCCCACATTTTTCAATTCAACCTTGAACATGAAATGACTTCATTTAGCTTCTATGAACAACTTGATCCCTGCTTTGAGGATAAAAGACAAAAAATAGCAGCATGTATTCACAGCAGGTGACCTAGCAGCTCGGTATGTGTCCACGCTCTCGTTTCGCAACGCTGCGTGAGATCGGGTGTGACGCCCCGTCGCTTGACCCCTGTGGACTGCTGGAGATGACAATGAAAGGACACTTACTCTGGCGAGGAGGCTGATGGGGTCAAGGCCGGACGGAAGCTCAGAAAGATTGCAGTTCTCTTCGCCAAGATAAACCTGCAGTGTCGTGCAGAGATGCCTCAGGCCTTCCTTCTTCTCCTCGCTCATGACGTCTAGATCTAGACACAGAACACAGCGCTTTCAACCTTTAACAACAGTGATGCATTTGAATGAGCAGACTTTTTTTGTTCTCCTCTCCTTTTAGACAATATCACTGCTGCTGTATCAAAGTACCATGGTATTATCATCGAAAACTCCGAGGAGAGTTCAAAAAAATAAAAACAAAGTATCATTACATACAAAATTACATGGTATTACGATGGAGTGAGACTAAAAGCAGTATTATCATTACGGTATGTATATGTCCAAAAGGCGGTAGGGAGATTGCAAAAGTATTTAAGGCCCTGTTTAGACGAGAACGCTCGCGGGTGAAAACGTACAAATATTTTATCGGATGTGCCTTTCGTTTACACGGCGACGGCGTTTTTGAGGCTTAAAAAAGTGCTTGACAGTGAAGGTTGTACGCAGGCGCGCGGACTTAGTGTTGTTGTAGTATGCACTCCTAGCCGCCTGAAGTCCATACTACATTGAATTTCAGTTCACACACTTTTGCGTCACCATTTGCACGCACAAAACGCTCGTCTAAACCCAGAATAAAAAGTGACGACGCAACGGCACTTTTGCGTTTTCTCTTCAGAATCGTTTCCGTGTAAACATAGCCTAATAAAAGGGTGTCAATAATTGTGGCCAACATTTTGGAGAAAAACGTTGATTTCTCTCTCACTTTCAATTGTTTTATTTCAATTTAAGGTTAGATTTTTGGCATTTTTTTGACTGAAAGGTCAAAAGGATAAACGGTGCAGATTTATTTTTTTTACAGTCAGCTTTGATCATATTTACCACGGGTGCCATTATGAGCCCGACTTTATGTCCAAAAACATAGTATTAACATGATATATGTCTAAAAACAGAAAACAAACAAACAAGGTATTATCACACATACAAAAACATATTACTATATTAAATGTAAATAAAAGCATACCATGGTACATTTCGTACTACCATTGTACAAAAGTGTCATTATCATGATACATATATAAAAACATGGTATTAACATGGTACCTGACAACAAATCATAGTATTACCATGATATACAGTATCTGTCTATATAAGTACATATTAATAAACACATGGTATCAGAAAACACTGATACCAACATATCAGTAATACAGTTGTCATTTGTTAACTAAAAACAAACTAAAAGTATTAATTGAAATAAAGCTTAAATTAAATTAAAACATAAAATAACTAAAAATGAAAGTGCCTTGGAAAGTAATTGTAAATAAAATAAGTTAATAAGATGAATACTAAAACTAAAAAAACAAATAAATATAACTTAAAGATAGACAAAGTTACTAAAACATAACACTGTAAATGAAAACTAAAATAGAACCTAATTCAAAAATAGTAATAAATACTATAACAGTATAAAACAAAAACTGAAAAAAAAAATTAAATTGACTGATTGGAATACCATGCAAATTAATATGGCAATAATGATGTATGGAAATCATGTAATGATAACCATGTCCAAAAACAAACAAACATGATAATTAGAGTCCCAAAGTTCCACCTACAAAATGATTGTATTTTCCTGTTAATGTCAATTAAAATGTATTAACCTAACTGGTTATAAATGACACTGGATGTAGTAATAAATAACATCCAAGACTAGAAAAACAGGAAGAGAAATAAAAAAATTGACATATAAAATAACATGCTGATATAAACAACACTGAGATGAACCAGGAAAAAGGTTAATGATGATCAACGAGGGTGAAGCACAATAAGAATCCAGAGGAGGATAAAAGGTTTTTGTGTGTGTTCACCATGGGTGTGTGTTTGCTTCATGAAGAAGATTATTAGGGCACATGTGTGTGTTCGGAGAGCTTCGTATTTGCTGACTGTACCAGCAAAATTGATAGTAAGTGGAGATTTTAATGTCTATTTAGAAAGAAAGAGGTCTGATTGTGTGTATGCGTGATTTATGTCAGCTTTGCCAAACATATGGGCTTTTCCATTAACCCTCCTGCTCTGATCTACTTCCTCCAAACACACCATCAATGCACTTCAGTGTGTTCAGTGTTGCTGTGGCAGACTGAGCGAACGTTTGACCCGCGGCAACAGCTCACGGCTCGTATCTCTCGCTCACACAAACACATTCAGCATCATAAACACAGACACACACACAGTAGTAAAGCTCTGCAGATTCAACCCATAAATCTGGTGCGCCTTCTATCTCTGAAATACAGAGATACATAACCAAAATAACACTGTTGGTAAAAACTGAAATTGTTAAAATCCATTCTTTGGATAATCACAATTCATTTTTAGAAATTATAGATAGACTGTAGATGATAGAAATAAAACAAATAGCAGGCAGAAAACAAGCACCAGTGGGGTCTGAATCCTCTCTTCAGAAGAAAATAACAGGCCTGGATGGCAGACAGATCTACATGCTTCCCACTTCTGGAGCATGAGAGGTTGAACGTGTGCAGAATTATGAGCCTGAAGCCAGGTGTTAGTTTTCTCCTTAAAGGGATAGTTCACACACAAAAATAATTTTTTTAGACCATTTATGCATCCTTATGTGGTTTTAAACGCTTCTGTGGAACAAAAAAAAATTAGATATTTTGCAATTTACAAACTGTGCTTTTCCGAACAATTCAAAGGGTCATGAAATCAAAATGACCTTGACATTTTGAATATAAGAGGTCTTTGTACCATTAAAACATCATAGCTAAACATTCTATTTATTGTAAACAAAGCATTTATTTAATAATTTGCATTTACATATGACTGCCTCAAGAGCAAGTCATCGACAAATACTTAAAGTCCCCCTGTGGTGAAAATCAAGCTTATAAAGGAGCCGTATGTAAGATTGTGGCCAAAACTGGTACTGCAATCACTTTCAAATTACTGTAGCGCGGTAATTTGTAGGACTACTGTATATAGGGGCTATTATCTGCCCCGGATGTGGCAATTTCTTTCTCTTAAACACGTGCAATGAAAACGCAAATTTGAGAAACGTATAAGTAATGACATTAATGTCCCATGACCACTCATAATGACATAAAACCTGTTGTATGAATTTTTGGATGAATGATTCCTTTAATTTCTGCAATTTTGCATGTCTCATTTGCTACCATTAAATTGTAATACAGTATAAAAGGATTAAATAGCCATCAAAAAACCCATCACTCGACCACTGGCTGAAATCACTCCGACACGTGAAGGAAGGAGATCGAATGAAATGCTCTTCTGTTTGTCTAAAGGAACTGGTCTACACATAAATCAGGACAGCTGCAAAAATGAGGGGCGGATGAAATAATGCATGAGCCGATGAGATCTTGATTTTGAGGTGAGAGCGAGGGCAGTTAGTGTGATGATGAAGCACAAGTTCAGATGGGGTGCTGACTGCTTCCATAAGGAACATCAGCGGGATTACCTCTCTAATGGCTGCACATTACTTATGACTGAATAGGAAAGAATCGGGCCAAAGAAAAGTCAGAGGCTCTTTGTGACAAAATAGCCAATTACTTCTGAAAAGCCATTGGCCGCGGGCAGGTTTCACAGATGGACCGCACCGAGAAAGAGAAGAAAATTCATAATGTAAAAATAAACTCCTGCCAGAATCTGACATTTATTCACCTTTCATCATAGGAAATCTAATCTTTCAACTTTACAGGATAAATAAGTAAGTGATTTTTACTACCGCCCATTTCCGTACATAACTAATTGGATATTGTCCGTTCCTGTGAAGTCTGAAAGGCAACTTCAAATGATCTAGTGAGCTTTTAATTTTCCATTAAAGTGACTTATCATTAAGACCAGAAATTATAATGATTTTCGTTTTGATTTAATAATAATGAGAATAGATAGACAGCACAGTCAGGTATGATGCTGGATTTCTGGATTAAACTCGGCCCAGGTTTTGTTTTTGAAGACTACTGGGCCTGAAAACCATTCTAGCTTTGCAAATTAAAGTTAGTACACAACAGACCAATCAGAACACAGTTTAGAGAAGGTTTATAAATCGTTGTAGTATTTCCTTACAAAAACAAAAAACAAAAAACAAAACAAACAAAAAAACATAAGCTTGTTCGTACGTCTGAGTTAACATTATCTGGTTTATGACAGTTTCTAAAAAAAGAAGAAAAAACAAACACTTTAAAGGGATAGTTCACTTTGAAATTAATTTTTGGTATGTTTTAGCTTACCTCAAGGGCATCCAAGATGTAGGTGTCTTTGTTTCCGCAGTAGTTACAATTTTGATATTTTTAGGTCAAACCGTTCTTGTCTGTCAGTCATATAATGGAGGTCTATGGTCACCACCTCAAAGAACGTGCATGCAGTCTTTTAAACACAGCCACAATGCCCGCGCCCTCAGATCACTTGGACGTAGCTGTGGTTCCAAAAGGTAAAAACGATATAAATACTGTTCGTTTTCTCACACAAACCGCTCGTTTCATGTCTTAGGCCATCAATGTGTACTTACATTTACGAGTCATTAAATCATGTTTAATTTGGACTTCTCTGTGCATGCTCTTTGAGGTGGTGACCATAGACCTCCGTTATATGACTGACAGACAAGAACGGTTTGACCTAAAAATATCAAAATTGAAAATACTGTGGAAACAAAGACACCTACATCTTGGATCCCCTTGAGGTAAGCTAAAACATACCAAAAAAATAATTTCAAAGTGAACTATCCCTTTAAAACCAGTCTGACCAGACTGGGACACCAGTCCACAAGTTTTTGCTGTTTTTTTTTAACATTTAGATATTTGTAAGATACTATTTTAAGATTTTTTTTAAAGGCCTGTTTTTTTTAACAGCACTATGCTTTTTTTTATTTTTTTTAACAGCACCTGTTTTTTTATACAGCACTTTTTTTTTTAACATACTACTCTAACAAAATTTAGTTCAAGTTTATTTCAAGGACTTTCAAGGACATACTACTCAACCGTGTAGTGTATGAAGGTTTTTTTGTCATTCAACATTGGAGACTTACATCGCGAGTACCCTGTGTATGAAACAAATATGATTTTATAAAACATATTGGTTCAGTCCTGTATGCTGACTGATCAACACAACATTCCAGTCGAGCTAAAATGCGTAATATAGCAACAACCACTTGACCTGTGTCAGCACAACGCAAATACAAATCAAACAGGAACTTACGTGACTGGTGTTCGGCTATCGAGTACAGCTCCTCTTGGTCACTTTTTGATTGGCTGAGCTGTAGAAAGAAACAGAAAGTGTGTAACAATATCAAGTCCTATGGCTGAACACCAGCTGTGATAGTTTTAAATGCAAAACATGCTTTGAACGGTTTTTAAGTGGTCCTAATAAGGCGGGTGTTCTGATGTCACATACCAGTTTGAAAATGATCCTAGCAACCAGGCGGACCGAGTCGGTGGGGATTCTTGGCTGGAGGCGCTGGAGGCATTTACATTCTCTCTTGTGATCGAGCCATGCTTGTTTCTGAAGGGTGAAAATGAGGATAGAGAATACATAGAAAAGATTTCACAAACATATAAGATGAAGTCACACATCTTCAATCAGATCTCAGATCTTGTCAAATGTGCTTGCTGTGTGTGGTCTCCCTTTAGAGGGAATTATGATGAAAGACTGCCCTACGATTAAAAAAAGAGTGCCTGGAGAGAACAAGACTGGTTTGACAGTGACATCCTTGCCATTTTAAAGCAGCGTGGTGAATAATTTTGAGAGACTGGGTGTTCTTGAACTGCAAAAGCTTCTACAGAGCATCTGACGGACACATTAAAGGGATATTTCATCCAATAATGTAATTCTGACACAATTTACTCCTCATGTAATTTCCAAACCTGCATGACTTTCTGTCTTCTGTGTTTAGCAGAATGTTCACGCTGCTCTTTTACATAACATAAACCTGAATGAGGAAGGACACAGTCAAAGTCCCAAATTGAAGTCATACAAGTAGCCTATATGACTCCTCTGATCTAAAGCTGTACAACATCTTTCTGTGAGGAACAGTTATTGACTTAAAATCCTGATTTTGAAAAATGAGATTTGAAAACTACACCAATAATGACTTAAGTTTAGTCTGTTCCTCTCACAAAGCCATAATATATATATATATATAGTGCATGGGTTATATTAACTAGTTGTATGGCGTGTGTCCTTTGTCATTTTCACAAAGAAAGACAAATGAATACAGGTTTTAAATGACATGACACATGCAAACGAAGACAGAATTTTCAATTCTGGTTAAACTATAACTTTAAGTGCCATTAAAAAAACAGGAATTAATACTGGAAAATCTATTGAATGTATGACGTGTTTCACAGGTGTATGGATCCGAGCACCAAATACTTCTTTTTGGAAGTCTCACTGGACCTCATGCAAGTTTCCGATAACTGCCGACTCATGAGCCCTTGTACGGGAACCTGGAGAATTTTAATGACCTTATACTGCCTTTCAGTGGATAACTTTTCATTAGCATATATGAAAACATTTCTTGCTCTTTCACTGTTTTCTGTGGTGCACCTCAAGGATCTGTTCTTGGTCCACCTCTATTTCTAATCTATATACTTCCAGATCATTCAGAGTCATGGTCTTAATTTCCATATTTGTGCTGATGATATACAAATCTATCTTACCGTTCACCCCATTCTGTTTTTCCCTCCCCCTTTCATCACTTCCTGCCTACAAGATCTCAAAGTATGGATGCCTCAAAACATCTTAAAGGGGTGATGAACTGAGAAATCAAATTTTCTTTGAGCTTTTGACATCTAAGAGGTCATCATATTATAAGAATATCCTGTAAGTTTCAGAACTGAAAACGTCCTTGTTAGTCCAATAAAAGCTTTTATTGACACCAGCCTCAGCAAAGTGGGGAACTATGACGTCAAAGAGGAAAAAAACACAACCCCTGCATGGGCGAATCATTACGGTTGCCATTTTACAACATTGGACGTTTTCAAAACAATTTCTCCCAAGTGCACCGACGGGTGAGTTGAATCTCATTATAATATGCAAAACTGTTCTCCACTCACAGCCGTGGGCGTTTACTTCCAAGTCTTCAGTGCGAGACGCCCATAAAAACCCAGCGTTTTTCAGGTAGGCTCAAAATTTGGGTACAAAATAGCCTATTACTTATTCATTTAGATGTTTTTGAATGCAAAAACCAAGCGAACGTCATAAGTTGACCTCAGACAACAATATAATAAAATTTAAAAAGCCAGTTCATGACCCCTTTAAAACTGAAAACTGACAAAGCAGAAACCATGCTACAGTAGTAGGCCCTAAATCCTGTGTTTCATCCCAACATGACATCTCTGTTCATATTGACATATGTTATAGTTATAGTTAATCCTTTACCAAATATATGGTAAAATTTGATTCTAAAATATTCTTTCAACCCCATATCAGCCAGCATGTTAAATCCAGTTAGTAGTGTCCTCCGTTTATTGTCAGTAACATAAATTGTTGCATGCCATCAACATATAAAACAGCATTTTCCCAGCCTGTTTCATTCTCCAAGCAGTTTGGAGAATAGATGAATGTGAAATGAAAAGAAATTAAATGAAACAAATTTTGCATTTGTTAATTATTTTTATTTAGGAGTAAAATCTTGATGCACCTAAATGAAATGAGATCTCATCACAAACTTGTTTGTAAAAGCTCTGATGATTAGTGTGTGAAGAGCTCTTACCTGACACTGAACGCTGCAGTACCGTGCCGTCTTACATTGAGAACATCTCGATAGACTTTCGCCTCTGTTAAGAATAAATGAGACAGCATTAACATCAGCCTCAGTGCATTTCTCCAGAAACTACATCCTCAGGCTGAAGAGGAGAAAGTCTGGTTTGATTTAGAAGGCTTATAATGAAGCATTCCTGGCCTGACTAAACATATTTTTCTTTAAAGTATACGTCGTCTAATGACCACCTTTGCTTTTGAGTTCAGTCTATAACTTTAAAGCTCGAAGTGAGGAATGTGGTTTACATGAAAAGATCAAATGCATGGGAGAGCCTGAACACAAAAGGTCACGTTATCTCTATAAAACGTCAAGTTATCTGTTTCAAAATGTGTTTAATGGGCCTGTGTTGTGTTTAAACACGTAGAAGAGTCACTTAAATGACATACTTAGTGCACTGCTTTATCTGTTACAGTCAAAATAAACATAATAGATTTACACTCTAAAAATTGCTGGGTTATTTTAACCCAACTTTAGGTCAAATAAGGACAAACCCAGCTATTGTGTTAATTACATTTTTAACCCAACGTTTGTGTTTGTCCATATTTGACCCAAAGTTGGATTAAAACAACCCAGCATTTTTAGAGTGTAGTAGTTGGTCAAGGTTTTTTTTTTTTTTTTTTTTTTTTCAAGTGCTAAATTTATAAATGCATTGACTTTTAAATGATTAAATGTTCTGATCACCTTTCCAGAGACGCATATTTCGTAATGCTTTCCCATGGATACTAAAATACTGAGATTTGCCCACCCAAGAACCCCTCTCTCTCCCTCCACCCTTGTCTATATCGCTCCTTTCTGAGTGAACATAATCACAGGGAGTTCAGAGCGACATACCACCAGATCCATCTTCTTGCCACCCTGCTATCTGGAGGTAGTCTGATTTTCGAGCATGCAGGCCCTTGACAAATCACTTTAGTGGGGCTTTGTAGTATCACTCTCTGAAGAGCAGAGACACTGAAAAGGGTCAGGCACAAATTATAGTGCAGGCCTGAGCGCTACTTTGAATGGACCCTCTGACCCCTTCCTATATAATAACGCTTATATTGTGCATTCTACACAGGCTAACATGAACACTGCCATTATTTTCAAAAAAAATGCTGTTTTATATAGCTTTTTCTTATCCCACTTTTGCACTTCAAATTCTTTACATTTGTATGCCAGTTATAGAGAGAGCTTTCAAAAAGAAAAATCAAGGAGAATACATTGATCACAAATGACGGTAAAGGCATTTATGTTATAAAGATTTAAATTTCAAATAAATGCTGTTGCGTTTTCAACATTATATCTACCAAAGAATCATGAAAAATGTCAGTTTCCACAAAAAAGAAAATAATAATAATAATAATAAAGCAACTATTTTTAAAATGAATAATAATACAAAATGTGTCTTAAGCACTAAATCAGCATATTAGAATGATTTCTGAAGGATCATGTGACACTGAGGATTGGAGTATGATGCTGAAAATTCAGCTTTAGTTTATATCACAGGAATTTTAACAGTTATTTTCAATCATGATGATATTTCACAATATTACTGTTTTTACTGCATTTTGGATCAAATAAATGCAGCTTTGGTGAGCAGAAAAATCGTATCAATTAAAAGCTTTTGAACAAAAGTGTGTATTTTATACAATGAACACTTTAAATGTCATGACTGTGTTAACATCCACAAACAAATCTTTGAATGCTTTCTAACATGTGCCATCAACAGAACCCTTATGAGATCCAGAACAGTGGAGAAATCTGAGCTATCTCAATCAGACGAACAAATGCACAAACAAAGAGGAGCACACTGAAATAAAGATGTTATCAGAACAACAACCATGCAGTGCCAAAGCCAAAGTCACGTTATGAAAAAAAAAAAAAAAAAATCATTCAGGCTTATATACACTATATTAGAAATTCTGAACTGATGGCTGCTTTTAATTTCGACAAAGAAAAGGAAAAAATAGCATTAGTGTGTGTAACCTCTTATTTTGAGATGTGAAAATGTCATTGTGACCTCTTTGTACTCCATTGTTTCATCTTTTATAAAGTCTTCAAAGAAATAATGGCCGTTTGGTTTCCAAATCGGTAGACTGATCACAACATACATGGCCATCTGGCCAATCAGAGCAGAGTAGGCTCTCGGAAAGGAGGGGTTTAGCGACCGGATCCTTTATCAAACTGTTTCAGACTCCTTGAGAAAAGAGGTGATGCAGCAATGTGTATGAGACAATGAAAGTATTTTTTTTTAACTTGGATAAATGTAATCCTATAGTAGAAGACCTCCAAAGCAAAATTATGAGCCTTTAAAATAGAATAATAAAGGCCCTCAAATTGTTAAAAATCACTTAAAGGAATACTTTCACTAAAAAAAAAATCTGTCATTATTTACTCACCCTCAAGAAGATATACTCACAGAAGATATTTGGAATTTTAAGAATATTTTAAAGAACCAAACAATTAAAAACATCAACTGGTTTCCGACATTCTCCAAAATATCTTCCTTTGTGTTCAGCAGAAGAAAGAAATCCGTACAGGTTTGAAACAACTTGAGGGTGAGTAAATGATGACAGAATATTCATTTTTAAGTGAACTATTCCTTTAATGTAACGAGTGAGAGATTCATTGGCAAAGCACAGTTAGTTTAACAAAGAAAGAATTAGCTAAGCAGATGATGAAATAATAAGCAATGCTTAACCTTGGCTTCAACTGGAAATTAAAAAAGTGTATCCAACATGGGTCTGTGTGGACTCCAACAAAAACTGCTGATGCTTCAGAAGGTAGGCTACGAGTCATTGGTGGTAATGGAATACACAGAGTCTGGCGCTGTCCAAAACCAAAGCACGGGCTGTAAGTCACAGCACAACACAAGAGTCCGACAGCAGCAGAGCGGCCATAAACCTGCCCTCATTACTGCACACACAAAATGAGAGGTGAGTTGAGATGAACACACCGAGAATATCATCACGATATATCAAAATAAAAGAATAAAAAAACTAATTGCTGAGCTGAATGTGTAGCTATTTCACTTTTTTGGGAAAGTTATATGAGTTTTTAATGGCCAGACTCAAATCTGCTATTAAAGCCGGCACTTTGATTCCTCATTCCTCAGAGTATTGATTTTGAGATATAGACGGTAAGTGTTTCCTGACTGATAAGAACCGGCCAGAAAAGCAGCACTCTCACATAACACCAAAATACTGCAAAGCTGAGACTGCTCTACTGATTCATAAAAGATCAAATTTGGCAAGGTTTGGGAATTTAACAATTGCCATATGTGTGGACAGTAGGCAGTGAGAAAGAGCCAGGCCTTTAATAATGATGCAAAATGCCAAACGATAACCCGACAATGTCTTAAATATTTCATCAAATAACCACTGATTCAATCTCACTGAATTTCACTACAAAGAATTATGTCCTAATTTTCCCAGATGATTCTTTTCCCTCTAACAAAGCTCATACAATTTGATACAATTGTATCCCTAGCATGCTATGTTTTATTAAATCATTTTATCTAAGTTAGAATTATTTTAAATTGTCATCCAAATTCTAGCACATCGCATTTTTATTATTTGGTACGGCTTTGTATTGCCCTCCTGCCATGATAATCATATACTTTCACAGCATGCTGCAATAGTTACAAATCTTGTAATCAAAAAAATAAATAAATAAATTACAGGAACAAAACCCAAACGAAAGCATATTCCTTAAGGTTTGGCATATTTGAAAGTTTGTTGTGCCGTAGAGAAACACTGCGCTCCAGTGGCCAGATGCTCTGACTTCAGCAAACATGACACTCTCATTCAGAGCATAGAATCACCCGGCCAACAGTCCTTATGCATCCATTTTATTTTTCATTAACAACGGACAAATATCCTGAGGCGGATCTCTTTAGATCAGAACCAGCAGAGGAACGGAATCACGGCGGTATCTGCAGGGAGTCAAAAATCTGATTATCCCTATACGACTAATGCCTAATCAGATTTCTGCATGCGGCCGAACACAAGGCAAGGTTTCTTAATTTCAAAAATTGACAATAATTCCACATAAATATGGCATCCTATCATAATCTGCAAATTATCTAACATGAGCGCTGCAAGGACTTTTTTTTTTCATTTTCCATGTCCACACACCATGGGATGACTCCAGTCCAGTCAGGAGGAGGAGGAGGAGGAAGAGAGAGAGACACACACACACTAACAGAACAGATACGAGCACTCACTCACACACTCTAACAGGACAATTACAGTGTTTACCCTCAAAGGACACTAGATTTAAAAATCATGCTTTTCCCAATTATTGTTGAATCAGGGAGGCTACACCAGTTACTTTTGCCAAGAGAGTTCTATTTATTATTTTATACATGTATCAGACAGAGAGAAAAAGGCATAACAGAATAAGGCTATAGGTGAGGAGGTCTTCCTTCCAGATTTCTCTATTCCCTCACCCCACCATGCCAGCTGTAATGGTTTCTCATTCCTTAATCCATGCCTTTATGTTTCTCTGGGATGGTACAGTAAGGATTGAGCACTCTGAGACTTACAACTTCCTTTAAGGTAGAAAACCATGTTGCTTTTGTTTAAAATGGAATGTATACCTCATGCTTACACATGGTACACTCCATTTTGCCTCTGCGAATACATTGGTGGAACATGACTTGTAAAGAACATGCCAACTGAATCATTAGTGGAACATCTCTGCTCAGTGAATGTTGCATTGCACATAGACTTGTATGCAAAATATATAACTCTCCCAGCTCCCCTCCCTGTATCTCTGCTCAGCACATGTACAACATACTCTGACTTCACAAAATACATTATGAAAATGAATAAAGAAAAATACTACTAAAAACATTTAAACAGTATTTTTTTAGTTTTCAGACACTGCTCATATCAAAGCCTGTCAGACAACACCTCTATAAATGCCACTTTCTTCACTAGTCTTTTCAGTAAAGGAGCATTTCATCCATTTCAACATTAATCTCTATTGAAAGTGGATCATATATGTAGTCGAAATGTAAAATAATTTTTTTAA